TCAAATTTAAATGTAGTATGGACCATCTGTAGCTTTCCCGGACCTAAGGGGGGCTCTGCCTTCACGCCCTGAGCTCGGCTGCAGCAGAGGGACACTAGGAGGGTTGCAGCAGGGGAAGCTCAGAGCAGGCTTTCCTTAAAGAGACAGGCTCCTAAAAGCTGCAGCCAGTTCCGAGTTCTAGTGCAGCCCCTCTGTTGGGGGCTCAGCTGCTAGGGAGGAACCACAAAGCCAGGTGACCAATTCCCTGGGAATACCCCCAAGCTCAGGGTGGCAGACGCTGCCCCAAAGCAGCCCACAGCAGGCCGGGGGGTGGCTGGGGAGACTCTTCCACAGACCTTACCGCTCGGCAGATTTTCCTGATTCTCAGCCAGTTTGCCTTTGCTCAGTATTACTCCTCACTTCTTCCTTGGACCACGATTCTGCTACAGTCCCTGTGCGATAATTATAACTGCTCAGTGCTGGAGCACACCAAACCCCTAAGGCAGCAGGAGCATGCCAGGTACATCACAGCTCTGACGGGGCTTTTAGGTGCTAGCCCTGGGGCGTCCCAAGAACCACGCAGACACACGGCTAAGGGAAAGGGCACTTTGCTAGGGCTGGCAGGAGAGGGAAAGGTTGCAGATGCCTTAGGTCCTGTAGCTTAAACGGTTACAGTCCAAAGTGAGTAGGGTGACCAGACAGCAAATGAGAAAAATTGGGACGGGGGTGGGGGGTAATAGGAGCCTATATAAGAAAAAGACCCCAAAATTGGGTCTGTCCCTATAAAATCAGGACATCTGGTCACCCTAAAAGTGAGCCATAGTGGTTCCTGTTTGAGTCCCGGGGGCAGGCCGGCCAATGGAGTCAAAGCTTCTCAGGGCTAGTGCCTGGGGTGCCCTCTCCAGTCCAGTCTCTATTCAAGCAGGCAGTCAGGCCAGGATCACTTAGTGGTGTGTGTCTCATTGGGGCCCCTCTGCACTGGCTCCCTACCAAGTCATCACTGGTCCCCATAAAGTCCCGCACAGACCTTCACCCAGCTGTATCATCTGGTAGCTGCAGCCTGTTCCGCATGCGGCTCTGCATAGAACTCCTGGGGATTCCGCTCCGTGTGCGGCTTTTCTGCACCTCCTGGCTAGCCACGCGGCCACTGCCTCCCAAAAGTGCCTCCTGCCAGAGTCCTTCCTCCACTCTACAGCGGGGAAGGTTCCAATAGGCGTTGTTGTCTCCTGCTTAGCAGGTTCATCACACATGTATCCACTGTAGGAGTACTCAAGTCTCCCCACCCTGCCCATCTGTTTGCAAAGTAGGTTGCACAGCCGTGACGGCTGGAGGATATTTTAGTTGGCTGCGTCTTTGCTCCCTTTGCCCTGGGCATCGCAGCTCTTGCTGATCAACATGCTGCTTTTTATAAAACGCCTGGCGAGCTGCTGACCACGCCCTTAGGGGAGAGGATTCGACAACACGCAGAGGAAGAAGATGGAGCTGCCTTTATTAAACAATGTCAGAGAATCACAGGCACCAGCAGAAAAATTCAGATGAAAAGGGGTGACTTTTGAAACAGCCTTTCCCCCTTCTTGTTTCCCAAAAGCTTAGCAAACTGTACAATCAAGTGTCCACCTGGGGATTTATTTACAGTGGACCTATCCCTAGAATCCTTACTCAGCATATCCTTCGGCATCATTCAGTGAGTAGAGCCCAAATAAGTAATAAGTAGGGATCAGGTTCAACAATAGGTCTGCAAGAATTGCTGGGACACTGACTAATGCCAAGGGCCACAACACGTTTCATCCAAGAGCGCATGAGTATTTCAATGCCAAAGGCTTGGTAGTAGGGTGACCAGATGTCACGATTTTATAGGGACAGTCCCGATTTTGGGGTCTTTTTCTTATATAGGCTCCTATTACTCCCCACCCCCGTCCCGATTTTTCACATTTGCTGTCTGGTCACCCTACTTGGTAGCCAGGATGGGCCGGATTTTCAAAAGAACCTGCAGTTCTCAGTGACTTCCGCTGATGTTTTGTGTGCTCAGCACCCCTGGAAATCAGAGCCAACATGTGGAAACAACAAAGGGGGAAGAAGAATCTCAATCCTTCATCCCTCTACGCTGGAGGCTCCAGAGACTCTTGACCTGAGAGCTCCCATCCCAGCAAACGTGGAGCCTGCTTCCGCGTTCCTTGTGGACTTCGGTAAGAGTTTTGAGTGCACCTGATCCACGCTTGGCAAATGCACCGTGAGCAGGCTCCACGTGACTATTATTTATGAAGCGCTGACTACGTGCTTTGAGATCCACAGGGCCCAGGTTTGCTGCCAACGACCCACCCAGGGGCACTGCATTACATGAGCAATTGCTGTGGTTGCTACAGGGACATTAGACAACTGCAGCTGGGAGAAGAAGAGGTCTATGAGAGTGTGGGTTCCTTAAAAAGGAGGTGAGTGCGGGGGGCATGGTAAAAGTATAGTCAATAATGAATGGCAGGGAGATTGGGAGCTTTGCTCCTTTCTGCTCCATTACACAGGAACAAGGGGCCAGTCAATCAAATTCTAAAGGGATTAAAGGAAACAAACACTTGACCATAACACGCAGTTGGACTCCGGAATTCGTTGCCACATGGTGTGGCCAAAAAATGAGCAAGGTTTAAAAAGAATATCAGAGTTATAACTGAGGCTAACAATTTTGGAAGGGACATTAAACCTCATGCTTAAGGGCTTAAGCCAACCTCCTCTCAACTGTTAGAGACCTACTATGGGGGCAGATTATTCCACATCAGCCTGTGACAAGGTTTCTTACACCTTCCTCTGAAGCATCAGAGACAGCGTAGTGAGCTAGATGGACCCTGGTCCGATTCAGTCTGGCAATCCCTGTGTTCCTACGAACAGGGCGGAAAGTGGTCTGCAGAATCTCAAATGGGATGGGACGCAACGTGATCAGGAGGCACTCTCTCTCTCTCTCTCTTCTAAGATGTGGGCCACGCAATGGAAAAGTTTGAGACTCCCAGCAGGTGTGGACTGATTCAGATACAGGGGATGGAGGAGGCTAGTCAACCAGCCAGACACCTGAGTCAAGGGGAGAATGTATACAAAAGCATGCTGCACATTCAGGGCTGGAAGTGGGCTCCACAATGGAACATCTAAACCAAGTCCCCCTGTGGGCCCTCCCGTTGGCATGTATGGGCCTGGTTCGATTTCACTGTCCAAATGTGAGATCTGGGTGACCCACAGGGGTCCTTCCTCTTTGAAAACGTCGTGCTCAGAACTCTACAGAACTGGCCAGCTTCCTGTGTCGCTGTTTCTCAGAATCAGGCCCTGGGTGAGGACAGAGAGAAAGAGGCCCTGTGGTCTGAGCAGATCAGACTCTTGGGCAAGGATGTTCCTACACTTGAGCCTTTACAGAAACTACCCATGCAGTACCATCTATACCGATTTCATACGGACTTCAGCCTTGCGGTCACATATGCCTCTGGGGCCAGCATTTTCAGAAGTGCCCTCTGATTTGCAGATCCTCCATTTTTTAAGTGCCCAAACTCATCAGAACAGCCATACTGGGTCAGACTAATGTTCCATCTAGCCCAGAATCCTGTCTACCGACATTGGCCAATGCCAGGGGCTTCAGAGGGAACAAACAGAACAGGTAATCATCAAGTGATCCATCCCGTCACCCATTCCCAGCTTCTGGCAAACCGAGGCTAACGACACCTATGATGATTTGGGGCTGGTTTTCGCAGATGCTGCACACCCCACAAATCGAACTGAAGTCAATGGGAACTGTGAGTGGTTGGCCCCCTCTGAAAACCAGGCCTGAGGTATTTCAGATTGACTCCCTCCCCCCCCAACAGAAACTCTCCCAATCCCTCTGGAAAGTTGTGGCCGTGCTGCATATCCTCCCCTCCCCCCCACCCCCCCCCCTGCCCTC